ATAATATATTAAATAAATTATATTTAATTTGTGCCATCTATATTTTTTGTGCTAGTTTTGCTATATTCTTGTCCATTTCTTTTATTTTCTCAAAGGTTCGTCCGTGTTTCCTTGTTGTCTCTCTGTCATGTTTTGCTCTCAATGTTACTAATATCTGCTTTTACACATATTATTTCCTCCCTTCCTCTACTGTCCAGTCTGTTTTCCTATGTTTCTGCTCGCAGTTTATACATTTGTACTTTTGCCCCTTTGCTAATATGTATTTGGGGGCTATAAACTTCTCATTCAGCTTTCACCACACTTCTGATACATTTTCTTCATTTTTAAAAGATATATTGCCTGGCAGTGGTGGCGCACGCGTTTAATCCCAGCACTCAGGAGGCAGAGCCAGGCAGATCTCTGTGAGTTCGGGGCCAGCCTGGGCTACCAAGTGAGATCCAGGAAAGGCGCAAAGCTACACAGAGAAACCCTGTCTCAAAAAAACAAAACAAAAAAAAAAAAGATTTATTTTATTATTTTAAATTTTGTGTTCTGTAAGTGTGTGGGGGTGGGTGGTGGGTATATACACATGAGTGATTTGCTCACAGAATCCAGAAGATGGTGTCTGATCTCATGGATCTGGAGTTACAGGAGCTTGTGAACTGCCTGACATGGGCACTGGGAAACAAACCCAAGTCCTAAACAAGAACAGTGTTTTCTCACAACCACAGAGCCACCTCTCCAGCCCCACGTTTTCATTTTCTTTCAAGTCATGTTTTTTATTTCCTTGGCACCTTCCCCTTTGACCATGGGTTATTTAGTTGTAGGTTTTGTTTCTGGCCTGCAAGCCCCATCTTTTAACTGGTATATTTACACTACTAATAGCAGTAATCACTGATGTGTTAGGACTTGAGCCTATCATTTTAATTTGTGGTTGTCTGTTGTGATTGCCACAGGTCTGACATATATGAGGTCAAAGACACCCACGAGGTTCTCCACTACACTGCTTCTCTATTCCCAGGGCACCTCCTCGTGGCTTCTTCCTTTCTTCATTTCTGGAGTCCTGTTGACGGTTTCCTATGTAAAAATATAATAACATATATAGCACATAAGTGTGGGGCTTAGTGTTATTGTTGTCACTCTGACACAATCTAGAATCACTTTGGAGATGGGCTTTTGGGCAACCCTGTGAGTGACTATCCTGATAATGTTAATTGATGTAGGAAGACCATTAACTGTCAGTGGGACTGTTCACTGGACAGGAGATCCTGGACTGTATAAAACGGAGAAAATGAACTGAGCACCAGCATGTACTCATACTTCTCTTCTTCCTCATTATGGATAGGATGTGACCAGCAGCTTCAAACTCTGGCTGCTGCGACTTCCCCAACAGGATGGACTGTAACTTGGAACTGTGAGATGAATTAAATCTCCTCTCCTTTAAGATGCTTTGGTCAGAGTATTTTGTCACAACAGGAAAAGAAATGAAGACACCAAGCAATAGAAATAATGGAAACGTGTCTTTTAAATGTCTCAGAGTAAATATCCCAAGATGCTTATCTTCCACTACTTCCAATACTTCTCAGAACTGTGATACAGATTTTTTTTTCTCAGTTCAAATTCCTTAAGCATCCAGGGTGGTTGAGCTCATCAGCAGCTGGATGCTATCTTCAGTCATGATGTGGAACTAGTCACAGTAGTCCCAAAGTCCCATCCATACATCCCACCATCGAAGGCCTTGCTTTTATAATGTCTGAAAAATCAATAGGACACATGTAAGCACCATGTACTCACATACTGAAGGAAAAATGTTTCTTAAATATTAATCTTAAAATATTAATCCAGGTAATATACATTCCTAAGAGAAAATCACATTCCCTAATTCCAAAACATCATGTGATAACAACCCCCCCCCCCCCCCCCCCCCCCCCCCCCCCCCCCCCCCCCCCCCCCCCCCCCCCCGCCAAAACTCAACAAAAGTTAAGAAAGGGGAGTCAGAAAAAATTCTTCTTCTCCCAAGACCAGGATCCTGCCACCTGCACACAGTTCATACAAGATAAGTAAGGGCGGAGTTGATCAGGGGGCTTGATCAAGTGTGAGCTGTAACGGGATTGCAAGGCTGAGGCTTCAGAAGAGGGAGAAAGGAGATGGGGGGCATCTTAGAGAAGAGTAATTGTCATCTCAAGAATAGATGCATGGCACGTGGATCTGGTGGCGCATCTTGGATGTTGCAGTCAGTAAGTGATGCTAAACACAAAAAGGGAGGTGGAAATCATGTGATCAGAAGTGGGAGGGGTCCTTTGAGCTTCATGCCTTATAACCTTGGAGTCTAGCAGTACAGCCATTGTGTGTGCATGTTACAGACCTGAACACAAACTGATAGCACAATTACTATGGTCTCCTGGCTACCGCTGTTAGGAATGGATATGTGCATCCTTCTTTTTTGGATGTGTGTGTGTGTTACACATTGGGAGGTAAGGGATACACATGTATGCATAAGTACCTGTACCCATGCTTACATGTACCCTACTCGCTTAAGACAGGGAATCTGGAGCTAGGCTGGCAGTCAGAAAGCCCCAACCACTCCCTGTAGGCTTCATCCCCTACAGCATTAAAAATACAGGTGCACATGCAACCATGCTGTCTTTTAACACGTGTCCTGGGGATTCAAGAAGCTCCTCATGCATGTGCAGCAAGCACTGGTATCCACTGAGCCTGCTCTTTAGCCCATGCTTGCCCTGATACCATTTTCTTTCTTCCCTGGTGCATGCCAGCTGAGCTCACACCATTAGCACCTCAGCAGGAGCCGTGAGCCAGAAGATCCGGTCATGACTGGACAGCTTTTCCCAGAAGCCTCGTTCTGATCTTGGCTTTTAAGTCAAGCTGCAAGTTAAATCAAATTAGATCAGCTGAAGCATGTTGTATACCCAATGTGAATTCCAGGGGACATATGTTTAGGACTGACACACCAGGAGACAGAGTCACCACTGAGCTGGACATGTCTTAGATGTCACTTACTCTCCTTATTGCTATAACAAAACACCTAATAAAGCCAACTTAAGGAATGAAGGGTTTGGTCTGCCTCAGGAGCATGAGACAGCTAGTCACAGTGCAGCAACAGTTAGGAAGCAAAAGCAGATAAATGCTGGCACTCAGATCTCTTTCTCCTCTTTATTCAGTCTGAGACTCCAGCCCATGGAATTGTACCACCCACGAATCTGGGTGGTTTTCCTACCTCAGTTAAACCAATCAAGAAACTCTCTCACAGACAAGCCCAAAGGATTGTTTCATGGAGATTTTAAGTAGCATCAGTTTGACGGTCGATACCAGCAGTCATATGGTCCCGAGTCTTCCAAATCATACAGCCCTTCCTTTCCTCTGGGCCTTTGACTATGCTGTTTCTTTGGTGTAGAAAATTTCCTTCTCCTTTGATTAAGTCAGATTTCATTTAAAGAGTCATTTCTCAACAAAGCTTCCTTTGAACACTCATAACTAAGGTCAGCCATGGTAGGCTTTCTTCAATTGTACTGTCAAGTATGTACACTAATGGCTGGATGTCTCCCACCCAAGCTGTGTTCAGCATGAACAAGATCACTTTGATCTGTATAATGAGTTCAACTGCAACTCTCAGCTCCCTGAGACCAACTTGGCAGATGCCAGGCAATATTTTTCAACAAAAGAATCTAAGACAGACCTGTTTTTATCTGGGGACAAGCCATGATGGCCAATGCACCATTTGTATAGTCCTGTGCTGAACTAGCATCTACACAGATGAGGACGTGATGACAAGGTTTTGTTTTGTGATCCAATGTCAAAACAAGGACAGGCTGGAGAGTTGGCTCAGTGGTTAAGGGAATGTCCAGTTCTTGAAAAGGAGCCAGGTTTGGTTCCACAGCACCTATGTCTCCCAGCCCACAATGGCCTGTCACTACAACACCAGGAATCCCACACCCTTTTCTCTCCTTCAAAGAAAGGCATTGCACATACAACACATACACAGAGAGACACAGACTTAAAAATAAAAGCGAATCTTAAAGAATATGTAAGTAAATAAGAATGAGAAGACTGCTTCTGTCAACAATGACATTACTACCCATGGTGCCTCTGCCTCCTGGGAAGGCGTGGTCCACACCCTCCAAGGCAATCAATGTTCTGAATGATCTGAATTCTTTGCCTCCTACTGTTCTCTAAAAGAATAGCTTCAGCTACAGCAGCCTCCATCCAGTGTTGTCTCTTAGCTAAAGAGGGTGGAGGTCAACAAGCGTAGGAGTTTCTGTGAGACTCACACAGAAGCTGTTGGGGTGATTCTGTTGAGTGATATTTTGCTTGTGTTCTGACAAATAAAGCTTGCCTGGAGATCAGAGGGCGGAGCTAGCCACTATCTAACCATAGACTCCTGGTTTTTATGATAAGACTAAATAGATTCAAGCATCATGATTCTTCTTATGCAGTTAAAAAAATGAGAGGATCTAACAGGAGACAGTCTTCAGAGCCATACTTCAGAGGATCCTCAAGTAAAAAAAAAAATGTGTCTAAGTTTCACTTCCTGTTGCTGGGATAAAATACCCCAGTAAAAGCAATTTAAGGGAGGGAGAGGTTTATTTGCGTATGCCAGGAAGAGCAGTAAAGCAACTGCCTACATGACTGCTCCATCATCAAGAAAGGTTTTTACTGTTGATATGAGCAAAGAACAGAGACATATGGAAGAGTCTAGAGCAGAGAGAGAAAGAAGTAGACTGAACAAGGCTGGCAGACTAGACGTAGCCAGGGCTAGAGAAGTGGGAGAGTGAGAGAATAGTGATTATATAGAGATCATAAGAGACAGAGAAAAGAGCACAGTGTGTGTGAGAATAAGAGAGAGTAAGAGAATAAGAGAGAAGGGGGGTAGTAGAGAACAGTGGGTTGTAAGGAATATGAGTAGCTGGGGGGAGCCTGTGAGTTGGATTGAGTTTAGGGTAGAGGAGGAGGTAAGAAAGGCCAGGATGCTAGCATGGATTTGAAATGTCTAACAGGTATTTGTGATACTGAGGGAGCCTGGAGGCCAGCGTGGGCTTTGATATGCTGATAGGTGCCAAAAGATATTTTGATGGAGTCATAAGACCCTTCTGCCAGAGGTCAGGGAAATGACTCCTTCTGGCAGAACTTCACAAGTTCCTGAGGAATGCTGGCTTTTATCTAATCTCCAGAAATCCTCCTACAGCCCCGTTTTTTGTTCATTTCTGGATATTTGGACATCCTGAGAGCCCTAACAACTTGTTTCACAAGTCCAGCTGACAATCCATCACTGAAGGGGAGTCAAGGCAACAGGAACTTGAGGCAGTGGAGGTCACAGTTAAGTGCAGAGAGTAATAATGAATGCATGCACGCATGCTAGCACTCAGCTTGCTCTCTCATTTAGTCCTGGGCCTAGCTGACCACCTTCAGGGTGTGTCTTCCACCTCAATTAACCTAATTAATAAAATCCCTTTTAGACATGCCCAGAAGCTAAGGTAATGCAGACAACTCCTCTGTAAGACTTCCTTCCCAGGTAGTTCTAGATTGTGTCAATTGACAACTAAAACCAACTGTCATAGATTGCTGTGGACAATTGTTCTCCCTGCAGAGAGAGTCTCCCTACAGAAAGCCCTTGAAGACAGCACCCTGCATGGACTGAGCCCTTCCAGATGTATACAAGAGACCTTTAGACATTATAGAAAGATGGACAGCGCCATAAGAGTCCATGTGCTGACCTGAGGTTCCAGGTTAGGGTATATGGGCACACACTTTTATCAGTTCTGTTACATGGGGTAGTCTTACCTGTCTGAGCTTGAACTGCTTCATACGTAAAGCTTATGTGAAAATTGAGATACTAAGGTCAAAAATGAGCTCATGGGCACAAAGACTCAGTGAGGTTCTGGCAGAAGCCTCAGGCTGCATTGAAATCCAAGCATGGTAGGCCTGTACTCCGGACCAGCTAGGTAGCATCCTAGCTCTGGTCTCCAGTAAGGTAGACAGAGTCTTGGAAGTGGTGGTGAAGACAGGGCCATGGATTCTATCCACTTGAAAGAGCAAAAGCCATAGTTCTTGCAGCCCAACTCCAACTCTATATGGCCTATGTGGCTTTCTCCATGGGAAGCCCCCACCAGACAGCTGTGTACATCTGAATATGTAGTTTTCAACACCAGGAGACCCAAGGAGGTCACCAACTGCCTCACCAAGGTCACCATATGTCACCAATAGGCTGAAGAAAAATTCTAGGGCAAACAGAAAGGTTCAGTGCCATTCCGCACTGCCCCGGACACCAGCTAAGTTTTGGATGAGGCTATAAGCCCTGCCTCCTAGACACCATCCCATTCTCCCACCTCCGTAAGTATCCTCTGTGTTCTACACATCTTGTTAAAAGGTAAGTCGAATTGGGGTAGCCATCCTCCGTGGTGCGGTGCCTGGTGTTGATCTCCAGCAAGACTTTCTCTGAGGGCTGGATGCACACAACTCATTTCCCACCTGGCAGGAGTTGCTGGCAAGCGTAAAAACCAGGTCAGGTAATCACACTCATTTGTCCCAAGGGAATACTGACTAGCTGAAGAAAAATACGTCAATTTGGCTGAAAAAACACCCATGGTTTTCAGTGAATTGTGGTCGCAAGAGGAGTCTGAATTAACCCATTCATACAGTCATACATTCATTCATCCATGCATTCACTTGTCAGGACTTACTTTTAGTAAGTTAGGGCCAAACCAGAGTCCAGGAAGACTGGACTGAGTGAAAGCACTTTCCCTGCAAGCCTGATGATCTGAGTTTAGAGTCTCAGAACCTGTGTTAAAGAGACAGACCCAGCGGTGCACATCTGTAATCCCAGAATCCCTGTGATGAGACGGGACTGGGGAAGCTCACAAGCTGGTTGGCCTGGAGTATGTGAGGCAAAAGGGGCAGAGGAGGTGGAAAATGAAAACCAACTCACAGAAGTCATCCTCTGAGCTACACACTCACACATACACACAC